GCGGGTGTGCGGGGCGGGGCGGGGGAAGGGAAGGGAAGGGTCTCCGGGGCGGTGGGGTTGCCCCAGGTGTGTGCCCTGACGCCCAGCTCTCCGGGCATGCCGAGAGGTGACACCCCCCCCCCCGCCACCCCACGGTTCAGCTGGAGCTTTCTGATCCTCCCCTTCCTCGGTAAGTGTGCGGGTTAATTATTTTTAACGGACCGTGAAGAAATCTCAGAGCGTCGCACCCTCGTAAGCCATGACCTGTCATGTCACACACAGGCAGTAAAATTAAGGTTTCCCAGCTTTCTCCTCGCGCGGGGCTATCTCCACACAAGGTATACCCTGCTTCTACCTGCAGGTCCTTGGGAAGACACCCTGCGCAACTGTGCTGCAGAAATCACATCTCCTCTTGACGTTTTCAGTGCTCTGAGGCTGCTGGAAACCGCGCAGCCCAGGCCACCACGCTGCAATGCACTCCCAGCGCTCTCGGCTCCTCGTGGAATGGGTGTTCCTGCTCATCCAGGGCAGACAATGAACCTCCTGTCTTTTTGAAGGTAATTGGCACAGGCTCTGGATAACACAGAAGCTGGAGGGGAGGTTGGGGAGGGAGAAGGAGGCCTAAGAACCGTGTCATCTCTATCAGGAGTTGCACTGCTTAATGGTACTGCTATCCTAAGTTTCATACACATTTATATTTCCAACCCCACACGCACTCACACACACTCAGTTCTCTTAATAAAATTTGCCAGATTCAGGCACAAAGATATGGTTAGATACACATACCTATAATATTTTAATAGTGATTCATGTGAGTAGCAAAGTATTTCATAACTCTATGAGGGCTTTGCTACATGCCGCACACACTAGCGAGGGAGATCCCTGGTATACTGTTTCAGGAAGCACCAGCCACAAGCCATTGATTTTGTCTGCAAGAAGATATCACCACCCTCGGGTTTTGTGCCACTATGGCTTTAGCACACTATGGAGACGTATCTGTAGGAGACATTTTTTGTGTCCTCCATAGTAAAAGTTTGCTTTCCTAAATGTAGCATGCTGCCAATTTAAATATATCAGATTTGGCTATGCTATCCATAAATGCTTTCAATTTCTAGAGCAGCTTAAAAATACTCTCTTTTTCCAACTGTGACATTGTGGAAAGAAAATTATCTTATTGCACATGTCCATCATGTCACTTCCTACAATAGTTTGTACTTCATAAAAACTGTGAGAGGTTGGAATACAAACAAGCAACACCATCTTCAAATGTTCCGTTAAACAAAATGCCCCATCATCAGATAGAATATCCACTGGTCTTTTCAACTTATTTCTTGAAAACCTGTTAAATCCTAAGACACTTGGAGTGTATCAGTTTTTACACATGGAGATCTGGAAGTATCTGATGGAAGTGGCCTTTAAGTCCACGGCAAGCAAGCTGTTACAAAGGCCTGCTGTCCATTAACTTGCTGAGCAGAGCATTCTTGTCCTCTTTATTGTTAGAGGAATTAAATCAAATTGAATAAAAGCTGAGCAGAGCATGTTCCTGGTAGAAAAGAAATATTTGGGTACTTTAAGGGAAATCGATTATAAAGCACAATATTAAGAGGAACTAATGAAGATTACAATTATGAAGATTCAGAATC